AAAATAGAGGTGTTAATGATAATAATATTTGAGAATGAGTGAACACGGATTCTAAGCAACAACGACTATGGGTTTTAGAAGAAAGAAGGGCACTACTACCTCCAAGGAGGGAAAAGGAAAATAAGAGAATGTCACGAACGGCGCCAGCTTGGCCCGCGCCTATAACGCAATATGGTTCTTTCTATATATTATACTTGGACAGTGAAGAAAGAAAAAGAGAGAGAAGGGCGCGTTGTACACACCCCACACTCCTCTTATGTTAGTGATCACGAACACGCATATATAAAACGCGTGTGAACGCGTGTATTTATATTTCGCGCTTGCTAATCCAGCCACTGTGTCGTTAAGCTTACGTTTAAGTCGAGATACGAGCGTAGGATTTTAAAAGGCAAAAACAGAGAGAGAAACTTTGGTAATGGCACCGAATATGAAACCCCATTTATGTTTGAATAAATATCACAAAATAGAAAGAGAAAATATTAAATGTTTTAAGTACTTTTTCGGTTGTCATACAAATTTTTGCCGATTTATTCGCACAAAAATTATGATATTTCATTGAACAGGAGAATGTATTAAATAGGAAAAAAGAACAATGCATTTTCTAGAATATAGGAAGAGTAATAATAGGTTGAATAAAGATTTAAATAAATAGGTTAATAAAAATTTCAAAAGATCTGTATATATGAAAATAGTAGTAGTATCTTCCACAATATTTATGAGCCTAATTATAGTATTTGATGCATTGAACCTATTATTCACCAAATGATCCTTAGAATAGAAACAGCAAAAAAATAAACATTACGTTTTCTCATTCAATCGAAGTGAAAAATGACTATTGTTATTGATTGAAATGAATTTGTTGGAGTCTAAGAAAGAAAGTGCATAAAATAAATAGAAATCTGTATTATCAGTCTTATTAGCGATTGCTTGCTGGCACTCCTGTCTCCTTAGTTTTTACAGGTTAACTCGTGAGAAACGTTAGATATATACGAGTAGCCATATGTAAAGTGCGTATCAAAGCTTTGCAAGTAAATATAAACGTACGTACAACGACGACGACGACGACGACGACGACGACGGGGCCTGGCGGTATCTAACACGTGGGCAGAACGCTCTGCGGCCCACGGTTTTTCGTGGCCGCGACAAAAAAGCAAAGCAAAGCAAAGGAAAAGCAAAAGCAAAGCAAAACTGAACAAACTAGCTAGTGTTGGAGGAGAAACTGTCCTCATGCCCTTCCTTTCCAAGTCACGCATGCTTATTTACTCGTAATATCATTTTATTTTTTAACTTTTACGTGTTACGTAACTGAAGGAGACCATTTAAAGATTATAGAGGTTGTTGACCATGTTCATAGGTTTAAACTCTTCCTATTTTTTATTTTTACCTATAAGTAAGCGTTAATTGTGAGAGAACAAGTTAACACATTATTGACCGATCACGAATCAACTTGTATTTTTGCATCTGTTTTCAATTATTTATATATAAATAAAGTACATATTGAAGTTAATTTAGGTTGTTTAACTTTCATATTTAATTGGGAAATAATAGCTGATGACATGAAATAACTTCTACGTAAAATTACCAGTCAACAGTATGTGAAAATGTATTTTATATACCTGACTATGAAGATAGCAATCAATCTACCATTGGCTTAGGATAAGCCTAGGATTAGATCCCGGAAATGATCACGAGATCAACTCAAGCGGAGAAAGTAGAGATTTTTCTTAGGAGAAAGCATATTTCACTTTTCTCCAAGTAAACCGATGCATCTCTCGGGAATTTCTTGCCGAATTTCTTGTCGATTTTCAAGTTTTATTCAGAACGCTATTCTTAGTCGAGACGCAAGCTCAGGTGCAGAAAGTGCCGTAGGACGTTTCGAAAGCCCGTAAAACACCCGTCCGTATTCGTCTGTATCCGTGCGCAACGGCGCCACGATTTACATTCCTATTTGTTTCTCGTGCACGCCTAACGTCACGTCACATCACGTACCTGGATCCTGAACGGCTTATCGAACGCTCGCGGCGTTCAAAGGTATACTGAAAAATAATCTAATATACTGGGTGATACTCGAAGAAAAATCATCTATTTCTAATCTGAATCATTATTCAAATAATACATTTACCAATAGTTCATGCATACATGCAACATAATATTTACTACTGAATATTTGAAATATCAAACAATTGTAATATCAGTATAACAGGAAAAGTTGTATTTGATACAACTAAATCCCCAAATCTAACTCCCCTAAAATGTTATCATATAGGAGATTTCCTTTAGGCTAGAAGAAAGACCTGATTTATCAACAACAAAAAAGGAAAAACGAAAGAAACATTAATCGAATGTATTATATTGAAACACCGCATATTGCACACAAACCATCGAATCACTTTACACGCGCAATTCTTAAACAATTATAACGGGTCTTAAAACAAAAAATGATATCTTCGTAAAGGTACAATAAGATTCACTTTGACATCAAAATCTGAGAATCCCATTTTTGTAATATAACCCAACAACGATTGTACCGTAACCGTTCAAAACCGGGTCTATGTTCGTATAAACTTTTAGATTTAAAATGACTTCAAAAAAGCCATCTTAAATTGATGAACTTTCTTCATGAATCGCCCTATACGTATTCTTTCAACGCTGCTTCTGAAAATTTTCTGAGCTATCGTTCGTGTACGAACGTGAAATTCTTTTGTTCAAGAATGAACATGGAATGGACATGAATGAAAGTTGTCAAAGGCAACGTAAACGTGCCATTTAAAGAGCGGATGAATGAAATTAATTCTTTAGGTATATATTATGTACATATATACGGGTCTATTGTATGTAGAGATACTCGATCCATAATTCAAGTCCCTGATCATCCGGAATAAAATCACGAGACCTCGATGAAACGAGTGAAAGTATCTTGTTAATTCTTAATTAACATCGATCCTAATTTAAATGAAACACTTTGATTACATATGTATGGTACACTTTCACCGTCCTTTGGCATTATTTCAAACGTTCGAGATTACGTATTGGGTTGATCGAAGAGTTCGTGTCGATTTTATTAAAAAAAAAAAGGTTCAAAAACGACATCTGTATATTTATAAATCGGCAGGAACTTCTTAGACAATTTAATACTTTGTATGTTTTCATGCTGTTAAGTATTTCAACTCGTTAGGATAAAGTCTCAGTGTTGGGTAAAAAATAAGGGAAACAAAAAAAGAAATAGCTAGCTAATTGAATAGAAGTCATCGTCGGAGCATCACATGCAGCAGGGGGTAAGAGAGTATTTGTTCACTGAGCAGGAAGCAATCTGTTTCAATATGGCCACTCGGCGGATAAGTAGTGTACTGTGAGTACTATCTACTTACGTACACGACTCACTTATCTCCTACGCTTTGTTAACCGTTCAATTGATAATTGAGCGAGAACACGGCGCTTGATCTTTTCTCCAAGGTTTCCTACGATCGATCGATCGATCGATCCGACTAAGAGACCACTATTTTAAATATCCTTTAGAAATCTAAGTGTAACATTATATAATACACTTGCATTCGATAATGAATGTCCTTAAGAATAACGATAAGGAAATTAAGATTGACTGCTGTTTAGTAATATCAGCATATATATAATGAGGGGTCTGTATTATAAATTAGAAAATTTATTAGAACAAAATATAATTATTTGTAATATATCTAAACAACAATTCGTGAATCCTTTGGAAAGATTATGTGGTATTTTAGAATAACCCAAAAAAGTATAAAATCTTGAGCTGGTTGAAACTCAAGAACCTTGTAAAACACCTTATAGAAATGATTAGGATTTTAAAATAACGATATTTGTAAAAGTCATGTCCAGCATTATCTCGATACTTGAATTAATACAAATCGATATCAGCGACATTATAGTGACAATCGTCATAAAATCAGTACAAATTAACCTATCGACACAAGCGAGTCTCCACGCTCGTGTTCACGTTAAGTTGACGGTGACGCTAACGAGCCTGCGTGGCAATTGCAATAAATCGAACCTCGCCTACCGTGCCAGTCACACCTGCGTCGAGATTATGCAGTTAGCATAAATAAATCTTACTTTCGATAGGATTTTTCTTTAAATTGCCGGCCAAGAATGCGTGTTCTTCTAACTCAGATAAAACTAATATAGTATATTAGGTAATTGTAAAACTTCGTGCACGATTTCCACTCATTTTTGACACGAACTTTTGCAATCACCGCGAAAATTGTATTGCCAATGTCATTGATGCATATCAATGCGTCTGTATTTTGATTTTAATCGTAATATTTAATTATTTTTTCATTAATATATACGAAATATTCTATTAACCCATTTGCATCTGAAATCTAAATACGCTGATAAGTTGACATTGTATTTTCGCAAAATATTCCATCATTGAATGCAAATAGGTTTTAAAAAGTTGTTCATCAATAATTGGCTGTACCGAATTCAAAGAAAATATAATGATAGTTTTGGAAAGAGATATTTGACAGATTATTGTAGTGTTAGTATATGTTGCTATAGAATTAGCATAAACTTATAGAAATGGCTACAGAATTATGCAATACTTATAGATTCATGTGGCTACACGTGGGCGAAAGATCCGCGGCACGGCACGATCTTATTAATTGGCACGCAATTGCACTCATATTCCACTTAAATAATAATTACTTGGTGGAACTATCGCGCGGCGGTTGCGCCCACGTAGGCGCCGTTTATGCTTCGTTGCAGCTTCTCTCTCTCTCTCTCTCTCTCCCTTTCTCTCCCTTTTTCAATCTTTCTCCTTTTCCCTCCTTCCTTTCTTTCTTTCAGATTTTTCTTGATCTCATTCTGTCGCCGCTCTCGTATTACGTCTACTTATTCAGGTGGATACGGTTAATCGATTTTCTCTTGGAATTCGCTTCATTCTTTTTTCGACTTTTATCAACTCGTTAAGATTTTATGTTTTGGTCAAATTTATTAAACCTTACTAACTTGTACTTTTCCAGAGACAATTTGTACCGCTTAACATTGACATCTTTAACATCTTTGGAACATGCCTCTTGGACGGCACCGGAAGATAAAATTAATACCTGCCAGAACAAAGGCCAAAGCACTGAGGATTGTCACAATTACATCAAAGTACTTCTCAGTAATGGGAAAAGTTTATTCACCTGCGGTACTTACGCCTTCAGTCCTTGGTGTACCTGGAGAGAGGTATAATTCGTTTGAATTTGTAACCTCTTTGGGAACGAACTAATTATTAATAAATAAATGATCGTTTCGTTATTTTCCACAAACGAAGATCGAAAATATCACCAGTGTGACGAGCGAAATGTCAGGTGTTGCGATGTGTCCGTATTCACCACGTGCCAATGTCACTGCACTTTTAGCCAGAGGTCCATCGGGTGGACTCTTTGCTGGTGCACCAACTGATTTTTCTGGTTCCGATCCTGCGATCTACAGGACTCTTGCGTCACCAAATCTGAGGACCCATCAGTACGATTCCAGGTAATGAAATTTGTGCCCTTTCGTTCTAATATTTCTCATATAACTTTTTCGATGCTACTTTCTTTAGGATCATTATACTTTTCTCCTACGTGCAATCAGATCATAAATACTTTCTCACTGTACTAAATATTATTAGTTAATTTATTGTAAAGGTTCAACACCTGACAACTATAATCGTCGTAAGTGCATAATAAAGGTTCAATACCGGACGACTATAGTCGTCGTTTGAACATAATTAAAATCTACCTTTAAACTACAGTTATATAGTCAATATTACTTATTCTTCAATTAGTTAATATCAAAAAGATTCTATCTAAATGCACCAAATTATTTATCATTGGAATTTTATGGTTTTCAGATGGCTGAACGATCCACAATTCGTTGGTAGTTTCGAAACCGAAGATCATGTATATTTTTTGTTTCGCGAGACCGCAGTGGAATATATCAATTGTGGCAAGGTAAAATCGATTTATCTTTCTTTTCTTTATATTTTGACGTCCATTGTCAATGACATTATTGCGTGACACGAAGATAATCGTATAATTTGACTCTCAGTACAATTGTGAATAGCATGTCTAAGGATTTAACGAAGCGTTAAATGTTTTTCGTTTCAGAAAATATATTCGAGAATAGCACGGGTTTGCAAAAACGATCGAGGCGGGCAGATCATGATGAAGGACGTCTGGATGAGTTTCAGCAAGGCTCGTTTGAATTGTTCCCTTCCGGGCGAGTTCCCTTTCTATTATGATGAGATCCAGGGTGCTGTCTATCATCCCGAAGAAAGAATAGTTTACGCGACTTTCACAACTCCGACGTACGTTAAAAACTAACGTATAATAATTCTTTACACAAAAAAATGAAGAAAATTAAAAAAGAAGTAAAGAAAAAATATCATTAAAGTTAATTTTATGTCTGTCCATAAATCGTACGAGGATGAATATGAGGGTAATATTAAATAACTAAATGATGTATCATTCACGTGAAGCTAAATTTTGTTAATGATCAAAAAAAGATCAGAAAAATCGAGCATAAGAGAACAAAACAATGTTCTTATATTTTCTTTTGGTGGTAATAAATCGTCGTTTTTACAGTAACGGCATAGCCGGCTCTGCAATTTGTGCGTTCAACATGTCAAGTATCACAGCAAGTTTCGATGGGCCTTTCAAGCATCAAGAGAACTTAGGGGCTGCTTGGGAAAGGCGACCGGTTTCTCATCACAACAGAGAGCATTGTGCCCCACCGACTAACACAACTCCTCATATTATAATTGACAATCAGAGATACCAATTAATGGACGAGGCTGTTCAGAGCTCGACAATGGCGCCATTGCATACCGTAACTTTGGAAAGATTCACACAAATCGCTGTAGATGTGACACCAACTAAATTACATCGTGGAGTGACTGTACTTTACGTTGCCACAACTGATAGATTGATTAAAAAAATATCTGTACTTCCGAGAACTCTAGAAACTTGCGTAGTCGAAGTTTGGGGTCCGCTCCCATCGATGCCAACAACTTTGCAATTTTTAAAGGATACCCAAAGTTTATATGTTGGCATGGAAATTGGTTTGTTAAGGTAAAACGAAGTTTGATTTGAATTACAGGTTTAACAGGTGTATAATTGATCTTATTTGATATTTATTCGAATTATGTTATGATTGTTATTAATTAGAATACCGGCAGTTCAATGCCACCGTCATCGAAGTCGTCAAGCATGTCTGAACGCACAAGAACCTTATTGCGGTTGGAACGAGCACTTGATGAAGTGTGCCCAAGCACCAAAGCAGAATCATATTGCCACTCACTGGCATCAGGAAGTAACGAAATGCCCGGTACTCACTGATCCAGTCGATGGTGGTTGGAGTGCATGGAGTGCTTGGTCAGCCTGTCAACATGGTACTGGAGATCAGTCGTCTCATGGTCATTCTCATTCACACTCTTACTTTGATCACGAAGAGGTGCATAAACTATCCCATCATTTGAGGATTATGTTCAATTCCGGAGACAACTTACGATCTGAATTTATTTCCAGATCACTGATAGTTGTCAATGTCAGACCAGAGAGTGCAACAATCCACCTCCGCAACATGGTGGTGCAGGTTGCGTTGGAGCACGCGTCAGAGTTACCAACTGTACTGTCCACGGTGGTTGGACAACATGGTCCGCATGGTCAGCCTGTTCTCAAACTTGCGGCTTCGCCATGAAAACACGTAGACGTAGCTGCACGAATCCTTCTCCAGCCTTTGGTGGTCGAGTCTGCGTAGGACATGATCACGATGATATCGTATGTATCGATCTACCACCTTGCCCTACGCCAGCTAAAGTTACACCACCACCTCAGAACGGACAATGGTCTTCTTGGGGTCCATGGAATGCCTGTTCTCGACCGTGCAACGGCGGTAAGACATTTTATCTTATTAATTATAATTATCAATCGTCAAATGCAAACTGTTATTAACAATACCTCTATAATTCTTTTGTTTCATAGGTATTCGAATTAGAAGGAGAACCTGTGACAATCCCTCGCCTAGGAAAGGTGGTGCCGAGTGTATTGGATGTGACTTTCAGGTGAAATATATTAACATACCGTCGACTTTATTAGAATGGATGGATGGATGGATAGTTGAGATGATTGGTTAAAAAAATGAAATGCAGATAATAATGCTGATCCGTACGTAGGTCGAGGAATGCACTCAACAATGCGGTGAGACTAGAAGATACTCAGGCTGGACACCTTGGTTAGCCGTGAACGCATCTATACAAAATGGAAGCGTGGGTTACACTGAAAAGCGCTTTAGATTCAGCTGTCGCGCTCAAACGGACGATCCCTCCAGTGTGAGAGTGCAATTTGCTAAAGAGGAGGAGCGTTATTGTAGAGATGATGGTTCTTGTTTACGAACCAACATCAACGGATATGGAGATAGCGTGGTCGAAAGTGGTTGGAGTGACTGGTCAGCTTGGTATCCTTGCGATCGACCTTGTGGAGGAGGCTCACAACGTAGAGTAAATATCAAAACTTGTTATTTTTAAATCAATATAGTTTGTTTACATGTTGTTACGGGACAAGTTCATGAACGCCCAGAATGCAATACGAATTCGTTTTCGAATACAGTAAATAATTCGGGAATTTATATGTTGTAATGCATGTTTTATTTCGTTGTGCTTTTAAGGTGTACATAGTCAGGAAGATTTTAAAAGATTTTAAAAATATTTGAATAGTTTTTAAAAAGTTAAAATAAATATAATAAAACAAAATAATAATAATAATAATAAATATGATAATAGTAGTAAAAGAGTGATGTAAAATGGAATGTAAAATGGAATGTAAAATATATTCTTCATAATCATCTCTATTAGACACCCACATAACTTGATAACATTTTTAATAAAATATAATATTTTTTGTAATTTTAATGAAAACGCAGAGAAGACAGTGCGAGTCTCCACCATGCGAAGGAATGAATACGCAGACGAGACTATGTAATATTCATCCATGCAGAACAGCAACTTTCGGAAGTGGGGTAGTAGAAGGACAATGGTCCTGTTGGACGGACTGGTCCGAATGCTCAGCTACTTGCGGTGTAGGTGTTCGTACTAGAACAAGGGAATGCATCGGACCAGAAACCTGTGACGGACCTAGACTGGTTAGAGAGACCTGTGAAATGCCAAGTTGCGAGTCCTTACTTGGTTGGGATACCTGGTCCCGTTGGACCCCCTGCGATAGTGATCGTCAACAGCATCGAAAACGTCAATGTCTTCAACATAGTAATGGAATGTGCCAAGGACTTAATCGTGAAACTCGAGATTGTCTTTCGGATTGCACGGACAACGGTGGGTAATTAAATTTTTTAAAGAAACAGTTTATGCATTCTTCTTTACAACCTAACTATTCAGATAACTGGATTTTAATCAATTTGTTGCATTGGTTTAAATAATAAATAAAACAATATATATAATTATAGTTACAAAGTTAAATAAAAAAAAGTAACAGCATTGAATGCAGAACTTTAATTCCAAATTTAAAATTGATCGTATAATCAATTATAATACGTTTAGTATTAGGATTAATTTTGATACCAATTCCAGATGTAAACGCGTTACCATCCAGCGTAGAAAGTGCCAGCGTATCGATAGGCGCTGTAGTAGGTAGTTGCATCATTGGATTCTTCATTGGACTAGCTTTAACAGCGATTCTTTGTTTCTTTTATTTGAAACGAAGAAAACCACGTGTCCCGGGTAGTCCTCATTACATCAGCAAACAAAATCCTTATGTCACAGTGCCATTAAAAGAGGTATGAAATAAATAATGAAATCATTTTCATTTGTCTACATTTGATCTGTAAAGGATCATTATTAATAAGACTCATTATATTCAATAGGTAAATGCTAAAAGACAGCCCAGTTTCTCTGGCAGTACGAACGGAAATGGTACGCTTCGCGGAAAAACCAATCCAAATGTGAACGGCCTTGGGAGTCCGAAATTATATCCAAAAAGTTTGGAATACGAGTCTGCCACATTGAAACGCAACAGTCATGGTCAACAACATATTCGTGCTGACCTCGATCAGGACAAGTACTATTGAACAAACGATCGACTGTTTTCACATCGTTTTTATAGTATTACTTCACAAGACTTTACAAAATTATGAGAATTATATCATCGAAATAAAAAATATTCATTTCTTTTCTTAATCACTGGGTCACTTTGAAAGGGACCAAAAGAAAAACATATCGGGTATTATTTTTTGATACCAGGACGTAAAAAAGCAATTGATGATAAGTGCACTTCGGAGAATATCTACTTAATTAAAGTAATTAAGATACTACGTCTGGGTTAAGTAGCATAAGACAACGAGTTTGAACTCATAATTTTTAACGATAACTGATGAACCCATCAAGAAAAAGCCTAATTTTACAAATCATGTAAACGCCTTAGCAGGATAATACGTGATTCGACGCTGCATGAAGTGAGAGAAATATTTTTTACGAGAGAATTTACATAGTTTATTTTTATTTTTCATGTAAATACGTACGAAAAAGAAGTATATGTATGTATGAGTGTGAGTGTGATGAGTGATCAAATATGTATGTCTTTGATTAATATTTGAATTCTATATTTGTACAAAGATTTCGTGCGTTTATAAACACTAATCGAGGCTGAGATTTTGTTAAACGTAAAACAAACAAAAAAAAGTGTACATAGATTAACAAATATTTTCTTTTTTCTTTTCTTCATCATAAAAAGAAAAAATAAATGAATTTTGATACCGAATAACGTAGTGCCATGATGAGTTTGTACATATAGATAGTGTTTTAAATAATAAAATATTATACTTTTATACATATTACTGCGTTAAAGTGTCTAATTAAGTTAATTTATTAATTTTCTAGGTATAGCATGAAATAACTAGACTAAGAAAACATATAAAAGATATTTAAAAATCCGTTAGTTTCTTTCAAAGTGGATAGAATAGTGGGACTAACAGAACATTTGTTTTCAAAGCACAGTATGAGATAAAAACGGATAACTACAAGCATTATTGTGTAGAGACAAACAAAATTTCAATTTTATACTTCATCTATGCCCCTTCTGCGAATTCATATATTGTCTATTTGAAATATGCATATATGCCTTATTTCATAATTTACCTAGTCGATATAGTTATCTCATGTAATACCTAGCTATTTCTTAAATTAGCGAATTTCACAAAGAAACGGTAACATATATATATATAGACATGCGAATAAAAAAAAACGATTTAGATGTATGTTTGATAAAATTTATATGTATGTATATGTATATTTAAACGTAACTTGAGTCGACATTTTTTCGTTTAAAGTTGCGTTTTGCTATTGACTCATATTGAGTCGCATGCGAGGTTTGTATTACGTTTTAAGGAAACAGTTATTGCGAAAACGATACGCCTTATATTGCCTGCCGTGACTAATCATTTTCGGCGAGAAATATAGCAAATTCGAGTTGTATAACGACTACGCTTCAAAAAGTCGCATCATATCTAAAATGACATGTTTTTTTAAAATGACAACAGACTCTTTGTAAGATTACAAATAGCTAACGAGTATGTGTGTGTGTGTGTGTGTGTGTATACGTGCAAGTGTGTAAGAGAAAGAAAGAGAAAAAGAAGGGGAAGATATCCTATCGTTAGGACTGTTTAAACGATCTTAACGATCTCTATTTTTTACATCGATATTCTTCTAAGCTCTTTTTACGATCATAATGAAGGTAAAATATTAATAACTATTTGTACTCCATACACTTATTTTACCCACCCTGCCCCAATCACCCCCTCCCCCTACCAATGCCCATCGAAACGTTGATGTTAATAAAGACAATATTTCTCTTAAAATTTGTCATTTTACGAATTGAATTTCTTTATTTTACATTTCCTAGTAACTATATATAAATTGAAACTCAGTTTAGACAATAAAATGAAAATTTATGAAACAATAATGAAAGCTATTGGATACTTTGAATTATCGGACGCGGCAACTAAAAGCCATATAACAAAAATAGAAACATTGTATTGAATGTAGGTACATAAGATGGTGTATATCAATATACATACATAATGTAAGGAAAGACTTAAAAATATCAACTGCACAAGAAGATAAAAGGAAAGAACAAAAATGCATTTAAACTAACTCGTAGTAGAAGATAAACAAGAAACATATAATTACGAACTATAGAAAATGCAAATGAAAAATCTATTAGTAATTAACGATTTGTGCGAATACATTGATAGTACAAAAATAAAACCGGATGAAATAGATGAAAAATTATGAAGTTTCTGAAAAGAAATACATATAAATATGTATTATTAATTGTGAAAGAACGCATAGGACAATTGAAACAATATGAGAAATTTAAGTATAGGATGAAAATATTAATACAAAATTGTTCAAAATACTTACCTAATAAATAACAACATACTTTTTATTCCAATTTGTTTACACTAATTGGATGATATTATTTTAATAAACAAAATAATTATTCATTTATAATGCCTATATAACGTATTTATATTTCAAAAAGATAAATGATCCAAAATAAGATATAAAAATGATGAAAATGAAATTAAAAGAAAAAGTGAAAGATTATAGGAAAATTTGCAACCAAAAAAAAGGACGGAGAGATAAGCCATGAAAAATTTGTCGAATTTAATATTTTTCTCCGTATGTTTGGAATAATTTAATGGCATAGTCCATAGAAGTTTGCGAAGGTGGTGGATGACACGTGACGACCATTCGAAAGAAATTCACTAGATTTTTATTGGGCAGGGGGGTGTAGCCAATCATTAAAGTACCATCAATTACCATTTTTTCTTTTATCGACGTCGTAACTCTGGACAATTCGTCCCACCATTTTTGGGTCTCACTTTTGCCACGCATACTAGATGGGATGTACCTAAAAAAGAATAGATTAAGATATAACCCACTTAATTGATTTTTGATAATTTCTGCATAACTTATAAGATTTATAATTAAATTTGATTAACTAGTAAATTAATTACTAAATAATATTATATAATATATTGTAAAATATTATATTAACTATACATTAATTTATTTTATATAATA